AAGTTTTGTCCATACTTTTGAAAGCTAAATTACTGTGTAATTTCGGGACGGGTCAAGTTTTTGGCACTGTTACTGGTGATTTAAATTGACATAAAACACACAGAAAAACAACACACTAAGGGCACATCAAACTTCGGCATCATATACCATTCTAATGGATCTATTGCTTAATATAAAGCTCAATTAGTTGCAAAGGGATTTAATCAAGAATATGGAATTGATTATCACGAGACATTTATCTCAGTTGCCAAAATATCTATTATAAGTATTTTGTTAACTATTGCAATTCATCATAGCTAGAAAATACAACAACTGGTGTATCAAACGCATACTTGCATGGTCATCTTGAAGATCAGGTATACTTGAAACAACCACAAGGTTTTCAAGACAAGATTTATCCTAAACATGTTTGTATACTCAAGAAAGCTATCTATGGACTAAAGTAAGCATCTACTCAATGGTTTTTGACATTTATCGGGCATTTTAAATCTCAAGGATTTGTTCAAAGAATGGCAAAGCCATCCTTATTCATTCATTCTGATAAACACCAATATATTTTCTACTTAAGTATGTTGCTGATGTCTTATTTACGTGCAATAATGTATCCTATCTCACAAATCTTATTCAAAGTCTCCACAGCTATTTTCAAATGAAAGATCTTGGAAGCATAAGCACATTTCTAGGAATTCAAGGGAAGCATACATCAAATAAGATTCATTTAAACCAACATATTGCAAGAATGGGTGGATAAAAATCTATACAAACATTGATAGTTACAAAAAATACCACTTTAACTCAATTTTAGGAATCATTCCACGATCTTACTCTCTACTGCTAACTTGTTGGAGCCCTTCAATATGCAACTATCACAATTTCAGACATAGTATAAGTCATTGATCAAGTCTATCAACAAATGCCCAAACCCTACTAGTTAAGCTTATTCTATGATATCTTTAAGGCACATTGCATTATGGACTTCCAATAACTAGAAGCAACCTTCAACTTACAACTCACTCTAACTTTGATTGGGTAGCATATCAAAATTACAGGGGATCAATTATAGGTTACTTCAGCTTCATAGGAAATAAACTAGTCTCCTGGAATGTTTAGAAGCAAACGCCTGTTGCTCGGTCTTTAATCAAGGCTGCATATATGGCCTTGGCTGCTGCAGTAACAGAAACAATTTGGCTAAGAAGACCACTTCAGAAGTTTGGCACCATGATCAATACAACTACACCTATCTATTATGATAATACACCTATGATTATTTTAGCCATTAACCCAATATTTCACTAAGGGAGTAAACATATTGAAATAGACTTCATATCAGGATTATTTTTGTTTCTCAGTTTTTTGAATAAATCAAGAACGGATTCTCATTAAAATATCAATAATCATGTTTTATATATTTTCCTCACAATAAGGGTCAAATGAGATGATGCTCCATTTAGCTTCTGTGTCATTAGATCACATCAAAGTTTATGTCAACCATCCAATTAAATTTAATGAATTGCAGCTAATCAACACAAATCTTAATGCTCCAAAATAAATCATATAGTTCAATTTTGATCATCTTCAGCCCACATTTGATGAAAATCAAATAAGACTTTGGGTTCGAATCTCTCATAACATTAGCCTTTGTGCCTCTCCAACAGTTCATCAATCATCTCCAAAGACACATTGGTTGAACACAAATATTAAATAACAAATATGATGCGGTATAATGAACCATCCTTCAAGTGGCAAGATGACAAAAATACCTACAATAAGTGGACATCTAATTTGTGTTGCCTTTCAATTACAAATTTTTTGGTAGGTTATAAATTATTTTTATAAGATTTTTAAGTAAATATAATGCAATTAATAAATTAATAATTATATTATATTTATTTTAAATTAAATTTATTAAATGTATAGTACAATAATCAAGAAAAGTATTTTGTGTTGAAAAATAAAATGATTTAAAAATAAATATAAAATGGAGTGTTCGCATTTGTTGCCTTTAATATGCCCACGGGAAACGCCATCTCATATAAATTTTTCAAAAGGGTCGGTGTAGAAGCAACGAAGCTGAAGAGGCCGCTATACTTAAAAATCGGGTCAACTCCTTAAGTCAGGTCGAGAGCATATTATCCACATGATATATTATGGGTGTCAAGAGCCAATTATCTCACTCCATTTAACTAAACTTGTTTGGACTATTATATATATATACCCGCTTTGTATTAGTAATTGCATGATTTGGTCACTTGGTATTCATTCGGTCGGCTCAAAGTAAATCGGCCGATTGAACGATCTTTGACCACCTTTTTCAATGGGACCAATTGTGAATTCACATTGCCTTTGAGTAAGATTATTTCATTAGACAAATATTGTGTTATCATAATCTGACAGACATACCACATTCGGTCAATTTGTTAAAATTGAAGGGATTCATCGCTGGCGACGATTGATCTTGGTAATAGCGGATGCTGGTTGGGTGGGTGTCAACGTAATCACGCGGTGTTTGTTGGATTGGCTAGTCTTTCGTTCTGTCGGCTTCAGAGGTCGACTGGTATAATGGTGAATGTTTGTATATTAATCCACTTCGTGTGGTTCATTTTATCTTCTCGAGGTTCATGCAGACATATGTATTATAGAATGTTTTAAAAAAATTTAAAATTTTATAAATGTTGATAATACTTAAAATAATATATATATATATATATATCAAGAATTCGTCTGAAAAAAAATTTATAAAATTTTGAAATTTATCCTTAATAAGTTTAAATCTGTGTGTTCATATATAAATAAATATTAATCATTTGGGGTTACGTACAATGCACGATTTTGGAAGTCTTTTGTGTAATTGGTCACGTGATCAAATAAGTAGTCCGCCAACGCTATTCTTTAGTGTAATAAATTGATGCTAACAAAAATTTCTCCGAAAATAAAATAGGTGAATATATATATATATATCAGCACGAATTTCAAAGAGAGCAAACAGTTTGAGAAAAAGGATTGACATATCAGACATGCTTGTTGACGGATTGCATGCTAGAGAAGAAGGTGATCGATCGACAAAAAAAATGTGCCAAAGAATTCCTAACAAGACGATGATCGACTCTCATGCCGATTAGCAGATTACTCTGCTTCAGATCAAGTATTGATAGGATAAAGGCAGAGTAAATAGTTGACAAATTTCTTACCAACCAAATCAATCTGCCCTTCTTATATTCATATATATATGTAATTACTGAAAGGTCACCTTGAATGCTAATGATAAGGGGATCGATCTCTAATTTTATTAGGCTGAGGTATATTCCTATATATAGGGGGTCTATATCATGAATAACGACTACACATTATTTCTCTCATATCTTTCCCTCGAAAACATTCTATACCTTGGGTGTGTTTCTCATAAACTCTTGGATTCAACATCTTTTAAGGTGCGATGAGCGTGGAAACATGTCGTCAACAAGAAGAGGAGCTCAGCAACAACAACAGGGAGAATCCAGTCAAAGGAACATGGTAGAAGCAGCATGCATTAGGGAATTTATGGAGGAATTCGTCCAGCAAGGCTTGCAAGAGTTGAGGACCCAAATCATTAGCCAGATGTCAAGACAGTTCGCAGAAGTAAAGCATAATGACCACTCGTCCAAACTTTAGCCACTTAGTCATGAGAAAAGGACCATTTAGGCAGAAACCACTTATTCTTGGAGGAGGAGGAAACTCAGTCCCTGAGGTATGGGCCTTAACTTCTATATATATCCAATTATAATTTTAGGCATTATTCTTCACTTCAACATATTGATATTTTAGCTTATGAATCTATGTTTCAATAAATAAGCTATTATTTGAAGTATGTCAGATCACTTCCATGACCATCGCACTCTGATTACAATAATTAATGAAAATTATTTTATTTGACTGCAATAATTAATACTTTTAATTGTATATTTTGCTGAAAAGGCATTATTTCTAATAAAGCATGGATTGATAAGTGGAATGCAAAATTTAAATCATTTTACGAAATTAAAATTTAAAGTAAAATTTACTTACATATAGGGTTGTAAACGAGCCGAGCTTGAGCGAGCTCAGGCTGGGCTCGTGCTCGGCTCTCTCTCGAAATTGGCTCGTGAACAGTGTGTTCATGTTCGACCCGATTTAAATATTCGGCTCGAAATTGGCTCATAAAAATTAAATTAAAAAATATAGATGTAAAGTGTGGGATTCGAACATTAACCGATTGAATACAAAAAAAAAGTATTAATCACATTATTAGAAGAGATCTTATAATTTAAATTTAGATATAAATATATATAATATATTATTATAAAAATAATTATAGAGCTAAAACGAGTAGAACACGAGCGAATAAAGAACTGTTTATGTTTGACTCGTTTACAATTCGAGCTTAAAAATCTGTTAGTGTTTGACTCATTTACTTAACGAACGAGCCTAACACGTGCCACCTAACGAGCTGAACACGAGTTGTTCGCAAACAACGAGCTTTTTTGATAGCCCCCGATACACACCACTTAATTCATTTATGTATTTATATAACTAACAGTTAAATTTTACTATTTTACATACAAAATATTTTTCCTGTGCATAAATAAATATATTGTCTTTTAAAACCTAAAATGTTAACAAATTTTCTGTGATATGAATAAGTCATAAATATATAAATAAAAATTAAATACATCCAAATAAAATGTCAATATACAAATTTAATAAATATGCGAATAACGAATAAAGGTTAAAAATGATACCCGTCAGTTCACATTAATTAATTAAACAGGGAACAAAATTCCAGTTAAATAAAAAAATAGAAAACGGCATAATTCGAACATTTATATACGGCTGCCTATCTGCAAGCCAATCTAAACCCTTCATTTCCCCTCTGCAAACCTGCGCTAAAAGGGAAGGTAGAGACCACCCGATCGGCACACCAGCGCAAGATGGGATGTTGGATCCTCTCCGCCACAATAG